ACTTTTAATATTGGGAAAGGAACTAATCCTGAAGTTTTCAGTTCCTTCTGCTTTCATCTCATTAATTCCCAATCCTCCACTCCACCACCAACAGCTCCCTCGCCTTTTGCACTCTTGCTTGCCTTTTCTTCTTTTACAAAATTTATATATTTATTATTATCATTATTATTTCCCCCAGTGAGATGACAAGTTGACTTGCTCCCCAGCCTTCCTCCTTGCTCCAGCGATGTGAAGGCTGAGCTTGGCAGAATGCCTCCTTCCAATTACAGAAGGGTGAAGCTCATTTTAATTGCATGAAGCAACTGGGATTAAGGAGACCTTATCACATAATTCCCTCTTTATCTCTTAACTTCATACTTGCCGCCCTCCACGAAGGGAGGACTGCCTTGTGCCAGCATTTGGAATTTATGAGGTAACCTTTGTTAACCAATGTTTCCTCCACGCTCATGCTGAAGAAGAAAAAAGGGGGGGGGGATATAAAGGAAGAGAAAGAAATTGTAACTGCAAACTTCCTCAGCAAGTCAGTCCTCCAAAAAGCTTGGAGGCCTCTCTACATTCAGTCAATATATTTTTAATTAAAGACTTCATGATGGATGTGCAAAACAAGGGTCTGTCTTGAGCAAATGTATGGTTTAAGGTAAAATGCAAGGCATGCCATAATATTCCCTCATATTGTTCAGTTCATTCTTCTAAGAGTTCTCTCCCCCATGTGCCCCCCATATATATATATATATATATATATATATATATATATATATATATATATATATATATATATATATATATATATATATATATATATACATACACACACATACACATACATTGACACAAATGATATGGCAAAGGGAATACAGGCGGCCCTTCACATTTGCTGCTTTGACTTTTGCAGATTTGATTATTTGCGGATTTGATTAATATGGTCTCTTTAGGAATTTCTAGGTCCTCTAGCGCAGCTCTGCTGGAAATTGACTTGGCGATTAGAAAACACTTCTGTGTAGGCATTTGTAGGTCCTCCAGCATGATTCTGTGGTCAACCTCTGGCAAATGTTGACCATAGAGTTGTGCTGGAGGACCTAGAGATTCCTAGATTGGTGTTCTCTCAGGTAAAAATATACAGTTGCCCCTCCCAATTCATGGGGGATCCATTGCAGACCCCCCCTAAAATGATGGCTCACTAATATTCAAGCCCCATTGAAACTAATGGCATGTGCGCCCATGGCGGGCGCGCAGGGGCATTTTAAATATAGGCACTTGTCCCTCCCCCAAAGAGTGAAACCGCAGACTCGAGGTCTGAGACCAAAGAGGGGCAACTAAGTGTTTTGGGTTTTATTTGCAAACGGGGGTCCTGTGCCCCTAACCTTGTGAATGTGGAGGGCCCACTGTACAAATCTAGGGTGCAAAGTAAGGAAACCACAATTACATATATACTTGGGCGGCATCCACACTATAGAAATGATCCAGTCTGACACCACTTTAACTGTCATGGCTCAGTGCTATGGGATTCAGGGAACTGTAGTTTGTTGTGGCATCAGAGTGCTCTGGCAGAGAAGGCTAAAGGTCTCACAAAGCTACCATTCCGAGGATTCATTGAGCCATGGCAATTAAACTAGTTTCCAACTGGATTATTTTCTGAAGTGTGGATGCAGCCTTGGTTGCCTCTGTAGTTTCATACTCCAACATTTCACGGATAAAAGTGAGGCCACACATGGCCAAGCTGCATCAGAGTGTGGTCAGGATGGCAAAAGCCATCAGAAAATTGGAAAGAAGAGGAACAAAATTGGGGACCTTTTCAACCAATCTGGGTGTGCCCTTATATGATGTTTGTTTTGCAAGCAATCCTGAAGGCATTTTAACTTGAAATTGCAGCAAAAACCCTCACCAGCAGCATCAATCTGCTTTGGTAAAATGAATGCCAACCAGGGAAGTGTAAAATCTCCACTTAGGTCCACAGTGTGTACCTTGATTTATATCTCTGTTTATTATGTATCTCAATACTGTATATTTATAATACAGTATTATAAGCCTGAGGACAGGGAGCGTCTTGTCTGGTTTTCACTGATATATCTAAACCACTCTGACAGCCAGCTGTAGCATGTGGTAAAAACACTACAAATAAATAAATAATGAGGTATCGCTAACTGGAAAAATTTATATTTCAAGCCTGTTATTTTTCACCTCTGGTGCCATCAGTTTGGCTATGGTCCAACTTCTAGGACATAACCCAGATATTCAGATGGGACTTGTAGAGATAACTGTTAGATGGGCAAATCTGTCCGTCTTCCTCTCCTCCAATTTCTTATTTTCCTACTAGTAGTATTCTCATTCTGTCTCAGCACTGCATTGCATCGCAGGTTGTGTTCATTTCCAATTGTGTCCCCCCCTTTTTTTTGTATGTGTGCAGATTTGTGCTTCTTTGTGTACATTTCTTTTGTGCTCCAAAAGGTATTGGAAGTCTGAATAATACATAGATTTTTGATGCAAGATGTGTTACATTCTGCTGGCAGCCTCTGAACATGTGAAATAGCTATTTCGCCATCAAAATATGAACCCGATGACTTTCTTGGCTACCCTTGGTTGGATGGAGCAGTAAAGGCATCACAAATCTTTTTTTTTAACAGTCTCACCAGAATGAGCATTGTTGGGCTTTAAGGGTGTGTTCTTTGCTCTCTGAAGAAAATGCTGCCCCTCTCCAGGCTATGGCTGCTGCCACACTGCAAAAGTAATGCAGTTTTGACACTGTTTTAACTGTCATGGCTCCATCCTGTGGAATCCTGGGA